TGGTACTGGGGATTGAACTCAGGACCTTGTGCTTGCCAGGCAAGCGCTTATTCTACTGAGCTATCTCCCCGGCCCCTCTAACGTTTTAAAAATGTTTATAAATGTCCAGTTTCTCAAAATTCTCTTGGAATCAGAATATTCCTGATAAAATTTTCTGGATAAAACTTTCTATTTCTGATAAAACTTTCACAAGACTATACTTAGACAGGCACTATACATACCTAGCAGGTATGTATCACATGACCTTGCCCTCACCATTACCCTTCCGCCCACTTCAAACATGGCTTCCAAGTGCCTCTCGCACACCAGCTACAGAACTGGCCTACCTCTGCGTAGGCGCCACCTCGGTCCCACGTCGGGATCTTTTAGCTAGGTTGGCAGAGGGGAAGGCCCCGCGGGGCAGCTGGGTCCCGGGTAAGCAGCCCGCGGCAGCGAGAACGGGCGCGGACCGGAAGTTCCGTTGCCTCGGTGTCTGGGGGGGATCCGTTAGGCGCGGACGCCGGAAGTGGCGAGTCGGCGGGTGTGAGACGGTACCCTCGGTGTGAGCGTCCCCTCAGCAGCGGCGACATGGAACCTGGGGCTGCGGAGCTGTACGACCAGGCCTTGCTGGGCATCTTGCAGCATGTGGGCAATGTCCAGGACTTCCTGCGTGTGCTCTTCGGCTTTCTGTACCGAAAGACCGACTTCTATCGCCTGCTGCGCCACCCGACGGACCGCATGGGCTTCCCGCCCGGCGCCGCGCAGGCCCTGGTGCTGCAGGTGAGGCGGGGGGCAGCGGCGGTCTCGGCCCCGGCCGCACTCGGGCCCCGGCGCCCCGCCGGCCGCGCCTGGACCCTGAGCGCCCGCTGCCGCTGCTCCGCCGCCCCTGTCGCTCCTCCCAGAATCGCGGGTTGGCCCTGCGCAGGTCGCTGCGCGAGATGTGAAGCGCCCTCGGACCCCCAGCAGCTCCGCCGTGGGAGCAGCCGCGCCCCCCGACGAGCTCCGGGGGCTGCCGTCCAGGCCCGGCGGAGGGCTGGGGGAGGAGAGGAGGGGCGTACCACGGCCCGCCACCTGCGCGCCGGCCCGCTCTTGAGGTGGCCTGGATGGCCGGGGCTTTGTGCTGGTCGGTGGGTGTGGCCGCTCTTTGCCTTGTGACTTCCCAGGTCGGAGAGAGACCTGGTCGTGGTGATGAAATTTACATTTGGATGTAAATCTATGCCGCCCAGGTTACATTTTTTCTATGCTTTAAACTCTGGTAATTTATTGAATGAAGTTGACTGGGTACTTTTGAATTCAGTAATAAGTGAGCATCTGTTTTACCCTTTCATCGGCCACAGGGTGATATGGGTGTTTAAATAACTGTCTCTCCTTGTGACACAAGTAAAGAAAAAAACATAGATGGTGACAAAACTCTGCAGGGCCATTTATGTGACAGTGTCAGTGAATTGAAAGGAAAGTAATAGAAATGATAGTTGAAGATTTGAGTAAGTTTCTTGGGAAGGGTGGGATTCTGATGAGATTGAAAGCAAGTGTCCAGCTAAGCTGAGGCTGTTTGTAGGAGCCTTAGAAGACAGGAATGTTGGTGATAGCTCGTGCAGTTCCCTGGCACCTAGAAAGTGCTTCACATTACCTTCTGAAGTGTCACTACAGGCTGTGCTAGGATCAGGTGCCACTTTAGTCAGTGCCTGCCAGAAATTAGAAAAGTTTAGAAGGGCCCAGCTTCAAAACTGACGGTCATTCCTTGTCTGTATCACAAGTGCCCTGTGAGTGATGAGAGAGCTGTCAGGTCGTCTTGTGCAGGATCTCACGGCACTCCAGTGACATCTCGCTGCTTGATGTTCATTGTCTCAGTTAAATGCTTGCCAGGAACACAGAGCTAGTTCATCCTGGCTGGAACTCAAAACTTCATTTTTTCTACTTATCTTTCTGCTCTGTCATTTAACTGTTCCATTGTAGGGCAAAAATACTTTTGCCTAGGCCCCCATCCCCTTAGGGTTTTTTCTCTGTTCCTGATTCCATAGGATAAGTCTTCTTCTTGTGGAGCCCTCACATGAGAGAGGGTCTTTGGGGTTTCTGAACACCAGCAGAGAGGGCTTGGATAGGAGGGCTGGGCTGCTGCTTCCCGCTGGTATCTTCGGGAGAGGAGGGGGTGTTGGTGTAGTTAGTGTCAGGCATCTCACTTTTGTCTGCTAGGTGCTGGGGGCTCACACAACCTGTTGGTGCAGTGTGACAGACCCTCAGCAGGAATGGTGGTTGTGAAAATTGGGTCTCATTCTGTAATATATTTTGTAATGTAATTATTCTAAGGGAAGTCATTTAGATCGAGGTGCTCTTTGTTACAGTTGATAATTCTGTTTATCCTGGAGTCCAGTTTGAGAAGTGCTGTTTAGTAAAGTCTCTGATGAGAGCCTATAGAAGCCAGTTGTTTCCTGTTCCTCCTATAACTCACTGGGATGTCTTGGGAGAGCCACCTCTGCTCTTGGCAGCTGAGGAGGTGAGTGATGGCTCTTGACATCTCTTCCAGCCCAGGAGTGTAACTGGACTAAGTCCTGAGAATGTGCTCACAGCCCTGAGGTGGTAGTGACTGAGAGGTCTTGGTACTGTGGAGGTGGGTCAGAGGAGGCTGGAGTGCCTAGGAGCGGCAGGTCCCAGGGGCCTGTGTTAGACACCTCAGGGCTTGAAAGGGAGCCCTGCTTGCTTTGCTTTTGGAGTTAGGTGAAGATGAGGGTTGTGGGTGTGGGTGGGGTGGCTTTGCATGTATGCAGACAACAAACAAAGTGGGGCTTTGGGTTTCCAAGGTTTAACCTTTTTGGACTCCATTTTCCTTTGCCTGTATCACCTTTCACTCTTTTCTGTGTCAGATGTAATTTTTACTGTTTTTTTTTTTTTTTTTTTTTTTTTTTCTTGACAACACTGTGGGCAAGTTACCTAACCTTTCCAAGCCTTGTTTTTTCTCATCTTTGCAGTGTTGATGCTGTCTTTTCCACAGGATTCATGTGGGGGGTTGAGAGTGTTTGTAGAAGCATTTGGCACAGTTCGTACATCAGCACCCATCTTCGGTTCCTTTTCTTCCTGGGCAGTGCACAGGCACTGTTCCTGGCTCGATGCTGCTTCCTAGCCCTCCCACCCAGTTCCCACGTTGACCTCCAGCCTTGTCTCATTTCAGTTGCTGCAGGCATTTTTGCTGCCTTTTTTATTTTTGAGAAAGGCTCTCACCGAGTAGTTCAGGCTGGATTTGAACTCATTATACTGTAGCCCAGGCTGGCTTCAAACTGGCAGTGATCTTTCTGCTTCAGCTTCCTGAGTGCTGGGATTGCAAGTGTGCACCAGTATGCCAGGCCCTTCCTGCTTCTTTATTTTTTTATGTACTTGGTATGGGGTCTTACTATGCAGCTTGGACTCGTAGTGATCTTCCTATTCTCAGCTTCCCCAGCGCCTGGTCTCAGTGGCTGTCTCAGCACGCCTGGGTGTGGAGCTGGTGCGGCATGTGGTGCCAGGGATTGAACCCTGGTGCCTGCTCTTGCCTAAGCAGGAGCTTAGTCGCTGGCTCTCTTGCTGCTTTTTGATTTTTTTTTTTTTTTTTTTTTGTGGTACCAGGGCTAAGACTCTCGGGACTTTGCGCTTGCCAGGCAGGTGCTTATGCCACTGAGCTATCTCCCTGGCCCTCTAGCTGCTTCTTGATCAGTCTATTTCTTGGCACTGTGTGTTTCTCCAGTGGTCGATTTCTCCAGGGGTCTCTGCAGGGGCTTCACATCCTGAGTCCCACTGAGACCCCTTCTTTCTCCTTAGATTTCTTTCACTAGAAATGTCATTCGCACCCATGCCCTGACAGGTTACCAAGGGCTCCCCCATGTCCCTCTTGTCTCAAGGCTGTCATTTGTAGGGTTGTCTTGACTATACTTTTCTTGGTAAAGAGTTCCTAGGACTTTCACAGGTATTACTATGTCCCAGAAAAGGTTGAAGACTTGCCCACACACCAGTGTCAGGTTCTTGGAAGGCAGGGCTGTTGCTTTGTTTCCCACACACTGTTGGTGATCGGTGGACAATTGTGGAATTGAGTGCTCCTGGATTCCCTTTGCCCTCAGTGTGGAAAGGGTAGCAGCCACCTGGGGAGCTGAGTGGGTTTTCTGGATTCAAGTTCAACTACATTTTTACTTTTGTTTTTGAATCTGAATTGTTGGCACCTTAATAAGCCATCGTATTAGGACAGTGTGTTGTTTGCATGTGAGCAAGACTGGACCTGTAGACATGATGATAGTTAAGACTGTCTAGGGCTGGGGATGTAGCTCATTGGCACAGTGCCTGGCTAGCAAGCACAGGGTCCTGGGTTTGATTCTCAATACAAAAAAAAAAAAAAAAAAAAAAAA